TCCCGCCAGCCAGGATCGAGCCCCTCTCTCCCCCATCCCCATCTCTTGCACCAAGCCCAGGGGTGGTGCTGAAAGCACCAGGGCGGGGCGGGGGGCGGGGGGATGCCCGGAGTGGGGTCCCAGCGCCAGGGGGAGGGCTAATGCGCCGAGGCCCCAGCTTTCTCATTGCACATTTGGGGCTCCTGCCTACTTGACAGCACCCAGGGAGGTCCCCCACCTGGAGAGTGGAAGAGGAGCTACAGAAGAGAAGGGGGGCTGAGAATACTGGGGCTGGCCCCCTGAGCGGAGCAGCGAGCCCAGGGAAGCGCTCCGGGGCCCAGGCTGCACACCGGGCTCCAGCTGCGGGCCTGCTGGGAGCAGAGCCCCTTTCTGAAGCAGGCACCCCTACAGGTGCCTCTGCTGCTCATTAGAAAAGCAATGAAAAGAATTAGGAAAGATTGCTCCTCCTTCCAGTTCCTTGAAAGAGCCGGAGTGGGTGGGGAGAGGAGCGCAGGAAGGTGGGGGCACTGGGTTTGCTGGGATCCAGGCCTAGATCTGGGAGGCCAGTCTGCCCTCTGCCCGAACCCCGTTCCCTTCCCTCAGCTACGTCCCTGCCCCTGGTCACTTTGCCCCCACACCGTTGGTCCTGGCCCTGCCTTTGCGTCCAAGTCTCTGGGGACTGGCCTGGGGGCTGCTGAAGGGAACGGCAGGCTGAGGACTAGAGCCCCCGCCACAGGAGGAGGTGACTGGGGGGATCTGGCTCCAGCTGAGGGGCCTGCCCACCTCCCACAGTCCGAGTCACCCCTGTAAGACAAATGAACTGCTCTGTTGGTCACTCTACCCTCGAAGAGCTGGGACAAAATAGGAAAGCTCTTTATGGCTGACAGCTCTAACGCCTACCCTAGAGGGTGTGCTCTGCTCTGTCTGGGGCCACATTTGGGTGGCTGGGTTACAGCTGTAGCTCTGCCACTTTCTGGCAGCGAAACTTGGGCAAGGCCCTTCCCCTCTGTGAACCCCTGAATAGTGGTAGTTCTGTCCTGGTTCCCAGGGTGTCAGCAAGGACTATGTACAGCCTGTGTTAACTGTTCTTTCTTTCTTTCTTTCTTTCTTTTTTTTACATTTAATTTATTTGTTTTTAGAGGGGAAGAGAGGGAGAAAGAGAGGGAGAGAAACATTGATGTGAGAGAAAAAACATCAGTTCATTGCCTCTGGTACGTGCCCTGACCAGGGATCGAACTCGCAATGCAGGCATGTACCCTGACTGGGAATCGAACCTATAACCTTTCACTTTGCAGAACTGAGCCACACGGGTCAGGGTTGTGTTTGCGGTTCTTGATGCAGCTGGGCTCATTTCCTGTCCAGGCCATCAATAAGGGTCCCCGCACCCTCAGCCATGCAGATCTGGCTCTAGCTCGGAGGCTGGCTTTAAGCTTGCCAGAGTGAGTGGCCAGCCCAGGGGGAAGGCTTCGCTCTGCGGCCCTCCAGATACATCATTTCTTCCTGTGCCTGGGGCTGGCAACACTCACCTCCGGTCTCAGGAAATCCTTTCCTGCTGTTACTCCCAGAGTCAGCCATCCGCTGACCCATCTAGCCACCCTCCTGTGCTACTGGGAAAGCCAAGGCTTTAAGAGGGGAAAGGGCTGTCTGCAGTCACTGTGCAAGCCTTTGGAGCCCGCTCTTTTCACTTCCCATTGTCATAAGCATTGTCTTGCATGATTTTGGTCTTTGAAAGCAGCCATCCTAATGGCTGCACAGTATCCCATTGAGGAGCCATGGTTGCCTCACCAGTGCCCTATGGCTGGGCATTTAGGTGAAGCCCCGCCCCCTTTGTTAGCAGTTATAAATGCTGCGATAGACACTGTTGGGCCTGAAGCAAGCATTGTTCATTGTGCAGTGGGTCTGACCTGAAGAATAAGACCTAAAAAGCCCAGAGAGTGGGAGCTGGGTCCCAAGCTCTTCTTCCCAGGTGGGGTCTGGGATCAGCAGGAGCCCTCACCTCAGTGGACACTTTAGTGGATAAATGAGAACCGGTGTCCCCATGTACTGGGCCCACCATGTTTCCTGTCCAGATAGCTCTACTCCAGGCCCCAATGGGAGGGATTGGTGACGTCCCCCTCTAGCCTGTGAGCTCCTCTCCAGCCTGGCTGGAGGTGCCAGGCTGCTCCTGGGTGGCTCACCACCGTTGGGAGAGTGCTGGTGTTGGGGTGGCACCCTGCACGGCCACCCAGCAACACCTCCTCGTGCCCTCCTCATCAGACTAACCGCTCTCCTTCCTGTCCGCATGCTCCCCTGCACCCCTGTGAGGTTGAACCTGTGGGAGGGGGGCGGGGGGGCATAGTGCTGGGCCCTGGTTCTCAGTTATCTGTCCTTTGGGGTCTCTGAGTGCTACAGAGTCCTTGGCTTTCCGAGCCTGAGTGCGCCTCCTCCTTGATTCCCTTCCTGCCTGTCTGAAGGTGCCGCGGGCGGGTGGAGGGGACTGCAGGCTGGTAGTCCCACCATTCCTTCCCTGGCTGCCAGCTCTTTCCCCTCTATGGCCAGGAGTCTGTGAGGTGGGGCAGAGGGGCTGTTAACTGGGTCTCAATCTCTTCACCTGGAAAATGGGGCCAATTGTGGAGCCTGTTTTGCAGAACTGCTTTGGGTATGAAGTGACTATGTGATCATGGAGCCTTGGCCCAGGACCCCATGGAGGCTGTCCTGGGGGTTGTGTCACAGTTGGTCTCCTTAATAGTCAGTTCAGGAGGGTCTGTTCCCCTGTACACCCCAGCCACAGCCTGCGCAGTGGGCCCCATCCTCCATGCCCCTCCTCCCCGGAGGCCTGGGAAGGAGCATTCCTCCTCCCCTCCTTCCAGCACAGTGGGGCACAGATCCTAGGGCCTTGATTCCAAAGCGGAAATGCCATTCTGGGAGGCACAGGCTTGGGGGGAGGGAGTTTAAGTAGAAAAGGAGCAAATTTTTGAAATGCCTCAGCCTGAGCTGGGCTCCCTCCCCCGGCCTGCCCCCACTCCAGCAGCCCCGCCCCCAGTGCTGCTTTAATCCAGCTCCAGAGACTGGAGGGTCTTTTTCTCCCATTGCCTTGTTCCCAGCCAGACACCTCCTCCCTCCCTAGGCCAGCTGGGACAGAATTGAGGGCCAGGGTGTCTGTGTTCCCACCCGTCCCTGTGGAGGCCTGACTGCAGGGCACTGCCGGGCTGTAAGGCCTGCTCCCCGCCCCTCACCTCACAGGAGAGGTGATCTGGGGAAAACCAAAGGACTCCCTCCAGCCCCCAGCGCAGACAGACAGATGTGCGTATATGGTCCAGCTGGTTCTGATCTGCCCCCTTGGGACCTGGGTGCCAGCCAGTCTGAAGATGGGGGTCAGGGTTTAGGGGCCCACAGCTTCCTGCCTGACTTTGGGGCACAGCTGTTGGGAACAAGCAGGAGGGGATGCCCTAGGCAGTATTTCTCGGAGAGCTGGTTCTTCTTTTGCTGGGAAGTAGGCTGTTTTGTGGGTGACAAATGGGCCAGTCCTGAGGAATATATAGGGTGACAGTTTTTCTGCTCCTTGAGGACTCTGGGTCACATTGTGTCCAAATCCCATTGCTCCTTCCCCACTCCTTATGCTGTGAGTTCTTACTAGTGATTCCCTGAGACACTTTGAGGAAATGCAGATGTCCGGGTTCCCACATGGTTTTTCTGGAGGGGAAACCTAGGAGTGTGTTTTTTTTAACAAGCTCTCCAGGGGACCTATGACCAGCCAGTCTTGGGCTGCCTTAGCCCAGACCTTTCATACAGACAGGAGAGGGGCTGCCCAAGGTGGTACATCTGGCCTGGGTGTCAGGGGGAGGGGCAGCCATGGATCCACTGCGTTTCTATGTATTTTATAGGCTAAAGCCAAGTCTGCCGCATTGCTCCCCTGGCACTGCGAGCTGCCTGATGGTGTCTACGTACTCAGCAAGTAGCCTAGACGTTGACTGTCTGAGGATCCGGAGATAAGGCACCAAACTGACAGGTTCTGGAGCAGGTTCCATCTTAGATCTCCCTGCAGACCACTGTACAAGCCTGGACTGAGCTCAGGGACCAGCACATCCTGGTTCTGCTGTGTGGGGTGACGGACACTGACCTGCAGCCTAGGGAGCGGGGACTCAGGAGAACTAAGGCACTTTCCACTCAGTTTCCCAGTGGTGGTGGTGCTTTTTCTTTTCCTTTCATTCCCTGCATACCCCCCACCAGGTTACTGAAACAAGAGTTGTTGGGGCACAGGGTTTTAGGGCTGACTAAAGGGTTGAGGTGGGGTCAGAGCTCCTAGAGCAGAACCAGGATGGTGGGGGAACAATTTAAAGAGGCAGAATTAAATTAAGTAGAGAAGCCCCTGTCCATAGATGGACTGGAGCCTCCGGCATGGCCATGTCTGATAGACCAGGAAGCGCCCCAGCTCTGCGCCCTCTAGGTTACTTCTGGACCTGCCCTAGCCTCCAGCCTCCCTGCCTTGTGTCCTCATTTCCTTGGGCTCTTGTATGGTAGGCCTGACCTGAGGCCGCGCGGTAGTTGTTAATTATTATTAGGGCTGCAGGGTGCCGGGCTGTGCTCTTCGGGCCGTCCTATCTGAGTCCGACGACCCGAAGGACACGCGCGCGGAATGTCCGGGGTTGATGGGCGAGGAAGGCGTAAGTCGCCTTGAGGTTGGAGCCCCAAGGGCTGCAGTGGCGCACAGAGGAGGAGGGCAATCCCGGCAGTCTGCCCAGAAGAGGGGGCGTTTGCTTAGGCCTTTGAGGAGGGGCGCATTCTCTCCGATGGTAGAGGTTGGAGAAGTACGTTTGAAGAAAAGGAGCTATATCCCGCGAACTAGGACTGAAGCCTGGCATTCGCAAGGCATCTCGAGCTTGCTGCTGGTAGGAAGTGGGGGGATGGTCCCACCAGGCACCAGGCAGCGCGTGCCCGCGTACTCCCGCAGCAGCTCGCAGCTGCTCGCGTGCCCGCGCCGTATGGGCTGGCGGTTCATTTGCATGAGGAGCCACAGCATCCAATGGGCGCGTGGCCGAGCATGCCGGGAGCCGGGCTGGGCTGGCCCGGCCTAGCTGCGGGCGGAGTGAGGTGGGACCCGCTTTGGGTGGCGGCGGCAGTAGCAGAGGTGGTGGCTGAGGCAGCGGACGTACGGGGCGGCTGCGGCGCACTTGGAACCCCGGGAGCGGCAGCGAGGTGTGCGCCCCTGTGGGGAGCCGGGGCCTCAGGCCAGCCGGCAGGACACGATGAACTACCTGGTGAGTGCGGTGGGCGGGGTGGCGTACGTGCGCCTGTGAGTCAGGCTGGCCGGGGTCCACTTACCGGCTTCGAGGCTACTGCTCTCCCCCTGCTCGGGGCAGGCCCAGACGGGAAGGAGTTAAGCGAGTGGCATTTCCTGCCGGACCTGCGGGTCTTGGGAACCTCCTGCCGCAGGAGCCTCCTTGGGGGGCGCTACCAGGCTGGGGTCCGAGGTCCTGGCCCGCCTCCCGCCCTGGACCGAGCGCCGGGAGGCGAGAGCTGCCGAGGATCCCAGAGCCTGTGTGACCTGGGGACGATTGGAAGGGGCCTGGGCTCAGTGGCTACTGGTCGGCAGAAAGTTCCTGGATCCGGGAAAGTTGCTGGCCGGAGGCCCACTCTCCCCCTGCCAGACGCCGCCTTCTCGATGACCTTGAGCCTTTGAGCCTTGGTCTCTCAGTTCCCTGGGCTACGAGGAGGGGTCCTAGGTCCCTCATACTGTGAACTTCCAGGAGGCTTGACTTTCCAGGAAGCGGGGTGTCTGTCCGTTGGTCCATCTGTGTGTTTTGGAGTGGGAGCAGTGCCCCGCCTCCAGGTTAGGGGTAAAGGGCTGGGCAAGCGAGCGTGTGGCGTCGACAGAGCTGTCGGCGTGGCGGAGCGACAGTTTGGGACCGGTTAATAATTCACTCCGGCCCGCCTGTGCTGAATTCCGGGACTGAGGACACGGCTCGTACCTACCCTGGTTGCAAAAGCGGAGGTAGAAGCCGGATCCTGGCAGCGGGAGTTCAGTGTCGTACTGCGACCCCAGGTCCGAGCCTCCGCAGGTCGAGTGCGGGCGCGGGGCCAGGGTAGGGGGGACTGCTCTCAGATGTCTGAGCCCAGACTCCCAGCCCCTCGTTGCTGCAGCGCTAGGCAGAACCTAGGGCCGTTTGAGGGAGTCAGAGAAGCTGAGATTTGCTATGGGCTGAGGGTGGGTGGGGAGAGTGAGCAGGTTAGATTTAGCCCTGGGGGAGATGTTGGGGTCTCAGGTCCTAGACTGGAGGTTGGGGCTCCCTCATCTGTCTTGAGAAAACGGAGTTTCCTTTCCCACACCCCTACCATGAGGAAGGGCCTTAGACTGGGAGGTACTCTCTGGGCTTCCTTGCAGAGTTCAGCCGGGCTGGGAGATGTTCCTCACCCCCCTGGACTTGGGGACACACCCCCTCTGCCCATTTATTTTTCAGAGTGGAGAAATGATGTTGGGGATTGAAGGATGGAGGGCTGACAGACCTAGAAGAGCAGGTGTGTGCTGGGTGCACTAGGAGCAAGAGTGGGGTTGGGCACAGGTGGAGCCTGCAGGGGAGGAAAGTCTGGGAAGAGCTGCTGACAGGCCCTCTTGGCACAGGGAGCAACTACCCGCTTGCCCTGGGCAAGGAAGGAGCCCAGTGGGAACTGGGTGGAGGCAGGGCAGGACAGTCATCCTCAGCTCCACTCCAGGGAGGAGACCTGATGCCTCTGGCCATGGCTGTTTGTGCTGAGCACAGATGGGAGCGCTGTAGGCTGGGTCTCAAAGCGTAGGAGAGAGCCAGAAGTAAGGGCAGTGCCACTGGGAAATCCTGTTGGGACAGGAAAGGGCCGTGGGGCAGCTTCTCTGTCTACCAGTCGTACAGGTGGTACAGATGGGGAGACTGAGGCACAGGACTGTATCCAGAAGTCTTCTGCTCAGTGCCACCTGTCTCCACTGTGCATCCCAGAAATCAGGGATTTCGTACCTTTTTTTTTTAAGCTGGAATGCTGCAATTTATGTGCCAACATACCCCTCTCCGTTTCGGCTGCAGAGGTGGTGCTTTAAGGGCTGCTGAAAGTTCTTGTTTAGGACTGGAGTGGGCAGAATTCTTTGGGGCATTGGATACCAAGGTGGAGAAGCCAAGGCCTTGTAGGGAGTAAAATCCCTACTGTTCCCTCTGGGCTGTCCCTTCTACCTCTGCCCTCCATGATGACAAATCTGGGGCTGTGGGTGTCACCCCTACTCTGGGCCTGGTGCTGCCCCTGTAAATAAAGGTCAGCCCAAGGGACTTGTGAGTCCTCCCATCGGAGCCCCAAGGGCTGTGAAAGAAAGCGGCAGGGTGTCAAACTCATAGGTGTGGGCCTGCCTGGGTTGAGTTCCTGCTCTGGGTAGCAGTGGTGCGGGTTCCGAGCGGGCTGGGGACCATTCCCAAGCTGCCAGCAGTTTGAACGGACTGGAGGGTGTAGGGCTGTGCCCTGAGACCGCCCACACAGGCTCCTTGGTGCTCCGACCCCAGTCCTGCCGTGGTATGTTGGGCAGCAGATGCCTTGTCCTACAGCAGGAGGGCCCTCCCCATGTCACCTCCCCTCTGCCCGGCCTTTTAGGACAGTGCCTGGGAGGGATGTCCTCGCAGGAGTGGGCGAAGGGGTCTGCTTCTGGCCCAGAGCTGGCCCTGGGCACAAAGGCATCTGTTGTTGCCATTGCTGAGGCCAGGCGTGGCTTGTCACAGGAGCTCCTGGCAGCGGCCACCTACAGGTGGGTTTGCAGTCCTTCCTTCTGCCCTATGACTCCTGAGTGTCCAGCACAGGGCTGAGGCTTTGTCCTCTGAGCCTCAGGCTCCTGAGGTAGGCGGGACAGCAGCCATGCTGTCATGCTCCCCTTGGAATGGCTCTGGAACAGGGGCTTGCTCGCTGCTATCCAAGCACTGAGGGCCTGAACCCAGAATCTGGCCTCTCAGTTGTCCCTGGGAGAGTTAGAGAAGTGATGCTAAGGCTCCTGGTCCCAGGCTCTACCAAGGATGTGAGTGTGGGGGTGTCTGGGAAGGGAGGAGACTCCCCCCGCAGAACTCGGCTCAAGCTGGGGATGGGGGAGCTAGACAAAGGGATGGTCAGGACCCTGGCCAGTGGGTCCGTGCCACTGCCCCTCCAGGGGTTCCCGAGCAGGAGTGAGCAGGGGTTGCGGGCGCACCCTGCAGTCGGTACACACACATTGGGCCTGTATCCATTGGCCACTGGGGCTTCTTGGGACAAGCAAACAGAATACCCCAGAAATAAACTTGGCTCACATTTGAGATGGTTCTGGATATGAAGGGAACTAGTGTTTCCCAAGTGACTGCTGTATTTGAGGCTCTGTACTTGGGGCGGCGGGGAGGGGTGGGTGTGTTGGAAGTGGGGAACAGGGAGGGAGGAAAAGGCCTGTGAAATTTCCACTCCTGGCTTTCATGAACCTGAGCATCATCCCAGGAACCGCCCAGCTCCACATTGTCACACAGCCCAGATCTGCCTCTGCTGCCCCCTGACTGTGACCCTGGTAAGTCAAGTAACTGTTCCGTGCCTCAGTTTGCTCATCTGTAAGATGGAGATCATTATAATGTCTCATAGGGTGGAAGGAGACGATTGAAGTATGCGAAAGAGCCCTGCCTGTGACATGGAGTAGGCATGGGCCATGATTGTTGTAGTCATTGGGAACCCATCAGTCTTGTCCCCCCCCATTCACAGCCACAAGGTAGCATCCTCTCCCACAGGCGGGCTTTTAGGAGACCCAGAGCACACCCAAGGTCCCCGAGGCAGCCCGTCGAGCCAACGGGGAGACCTGAATACCCGTCAGACGGCTGAGGTTGCCCTAGACTTGTGACCGCCGGCAAGGCCCAGCTGCTCCATGTCTGAGGGCCCACACAACCTGGCTGGGGGCTCTCCTCTGCCTCCTCCCCCTGGGGTTGGCAAGCCCCAAAGGGCATCCCTGGCTTCCTCAGGCTAAGCTAAACTTCTCCCAGGGAGGACGGGACACCACCCTCTGCTAAGAGGGCTTCTGCCTGAGCCCATCCATCCTGGGCCAGGCATGGCGTTCCCAGGGTCGTGGGAGTTCCATGCTGAGGGAGACAGCCCCGTCCATCCTGGGTGTCGAGGGGCAGGAGCATGAAGTGGGCAGTAACAAGATGTATCGGTCAGCACTTCCCGTTGGGGGGAGTGGGAGCAGGTGCCTGTGGAGGGGCACAGGATCCTTCCTGGAGGGTCACCGCCCTAGTTCATGTCTTGGAAAAGGAGTAAGACGCCGTGGGAGGTTTCCTAGAGGCAGGTGTGAGGTGGCCAGAGATGCAGGGCAAGCCAGGCAGTAGCCTCTGTGGTGTCTTGGACACAGATGTCCGGCAGTGTCTGCCAGAACTGTGATGGTGTCCTGGCAGTGTGTCCCTCCCAGAGGTTGCAGCTGTGTCCTCTTGTGAGCTTGGGGGTGAGGCACCTGACTGTCCCAGCAGCAAGGGAGGCTGGAAAGCCAGGCTCTGAGGGAGATGGCTCCTCTTACACGCTGGGGCAAGACTCTGCGTCCTGGGGGACCCGTCCAGAGCCCAAGCTGGGCTCTTCCTGCCATGTAATGCCACCACTTGGATAGCATTTACTGAGCTCTCCACGTACCACTCCAACTCAGCCTGCAGTGCAGCTGGCCCCCGCCTGCCTGCTACTCCAGGGCTTGGCCCCGCTGCTCTAGCACCTTGGTTCATTCCCCTCCTCTGCCCGTGTACCCTTCCCCAGCTGGTTTCACGGTTGCCTAGTTCTCATTATTCATGAGCTGAAGTGTCACCTCCTTGGGGAGGACATCTCTGACCACCCTATATGCAGTGGCCCTGCAGTGGTCACATTACAAGGGAGGACCCAAAAAACCAGCAAGTGTCTTCTGGAGGGCATGCCCCTTGTAGTACACACTTTCCCTGCTGGATGAGTGTTCTAGAAATCATCTGTATCTGTGTGCCAGCTGGTGTGGTTGTGAGAGGCTACATTCTACTTAAGTGATTTTTTTTTTTAAACTCAGTGTGTTTGCCATTTCATAATGGGTGATTTCCTAGCACACCTGCCCACACTGTGCTGAGTGTTGAGCAGTTTTTGACTAAAAATGATATGATGCCCATGCCCCACAATTCCTATTCACCTGATCTCACCCCAAGCGACGTTTTTGTGTTTCCCCGAATGAAGGAAGACGTCAAAAGGAAATGTTTTGCTGATGTGGTAGAGGTGAAACAAAAAAACAGAAGCACTAAAAGGCATC